CTAATGTGTCAACATCATGTTGAGTAGAGTTGGCATTTTCACCAATCTATGTAATTTCCCTCGCTAATCCCCATTGAATAGCTCGTGATTTTACATGCGGTAAATTAAATGAAAGTGTCAATGACACTATAGCTCACCTTGAGTGTGATAGAAGAGGGAGATCATATATAAAATCTGGTATGTGTTTCATTTATGACGGACCAAAATGTGATCAAATGTCCTTATTCCCTGTTTTATACTAATAGAAATTTCACCGTTTTGTTTCAGGGTTAGTTTTGACGCAAAAATAAATGTTTCAGATCTGAAAGTCTGAAATCTGGGCGAGAGTTGGCGCTACGCCTAAATGATCGCCATTTTGGTTTTCGATTATCGCGCAAATAAAAGCAATAAAATATTCCAGTCAAATTACTGTAACGAAGAATCTAAAACACAATATTACACGTAGCCGTAGGTATGATTAGGTAGGTAGGTAGGTAGGTAAATTTAACAAAATAGGATGAATCTAAATGGCCATTTTCATTTTTGCCAAAAAGTGAGCTTGGCTCGAAAGTAGGTCGACTGGCGTGCTCCAAAATAGGACGTCCAAATCTCTCCCATAGGAGTAACAACTGTATGCAATTTGAAACATGTGGGTCAAACGGTTCATGAGTTATCGTTGACCGTAGGCAGACACTGAAATGCATAGTGAAATTGGAAAAATCTACCTAATTTGCATAATTAAAAAAAATATCAAAACCCGTGTGGTATGTTTTGGGGCCAGTCCTTATTCATTCACATACCAAAAATGAGCAAAATCCGTTGAACCTGAACTGACTTATGACCATTTCCATTTTGTTCAAAAAGTGGGCGTGGCTCGAAAGTAGGTCAACTGGCGTGCTCCAAAATAGGACGTTCACATATCTTCCATAGGAGTAACAACCGTATGCAATTTGATACCTTTGTTTTGCCTGTCAATGATACGAGCAGGGACCTAGGGCCCTTTAACCCAGGACAGCTTAAAGCACATGGCGCTGTCTACCTCACCCGCTATTGCTACAACAGAACTGGGAACATGACCGATACACTTGCTAATCTCAGCATGGCTCCATAGTAGCCTGAGCCTCAGACCAAGGCTCATAGTAGCCAGCTAGTGGCCAGGGCAACCACCCACACTGGGTGACGTCAGGTTGTGGTAGCGCCCTCTAGTAGTGCCCGCAAACCTCTTAATGCTCCTGCTCCCCCTCGGCAGTCCTGCATGGCAGGGCAGCGCCCCTAGCGTGCGTGTCGGAGACGGACGAACGATTGCATCTGGCCGGCGCCTGGCGGCGATACGTTACCTATACCTGAAGCGCGAGCCGATCTGGAAGACATGGCGTCGCGATGGCGCCTTAGGCACGTGCAGGCGGAAGAACGTGTGATGCTCGACGCAGGCCTTCCACAGCTCCTTACACGTGCGACAGCTGAGCATGTTGAAACCGATGAGGCTGTCCGAGTGCTCGCTCTGCGGGATGAGATAGTAATAACAATAGTAATAGTAGTGGTAGTAGCATGAGGGTAACAGAGATATGCAGGTAACTATTGCAGGGGGACATACATGCGGATGACAGAGAGAAGAATGATACAAGCATTTCGGTGTTAGCACGAGCTCTAATGTAAGTAACCACGAGGCAGAAATCACAGAAATATCACCAGACTACCACATTTATCACAGCAAGCGGTCATCATGCTCGATATTTATGCTTATATCAATGCTTTGCACTCATTCGTTTTGAAGACACTTTCAGCAGGAAGGGAATTTGAAGTGGTGTTCTATATAGGCTTAGCAATGGCAAAATAAAAACGATTTATATACCATTACTGCTTTATACTAAATGAAAATGATCCTCATGGAATCTGGTAGGGGAGGGGGGGGGGAATGCAAACCTGCACTCTGAGCTTTAGCTCTCTGTAATTACTTTAGGGATCATAGCGCTCTTCAATCTGTGATGTTGTTTACAGTGAACGAAACGTGCGGTAGGCATCGCTACTTGTTTCTCATGCAAGCCTCGTAAATGCGCGACGGACGGTTTAGGATCCAATCACACATGCACGTGACAAAAATCCTCTTATCGTGCACGGACTTGTGAATGTAGGTTGGGCAACTGATTGCTCTAGCACTAGTTTGGCTTTCACTCGACTGCGCCGAGTCGTAGACTTGGGAGAGTAATATGAGAGGATGTCAAGTCCCGCCGTGAAATATAGATAGCCTATTAGGAGCTACTAATGTACTACTGAAGACAAGCTGCTAATATTGTTCTACTGAAAATATGCTGATATCACTGCACTACTGAAGATAGCAGGCATTATTAATTGTACTACCGAAGACAAGTTGGTATTAGTTTACTATTGAAGATAGCAGGCATTATTAATTGTACTACTGAAGACAAGTTGG